TGTGTGTGTTACTGTGTGTGTGTGTGTGTGCGTCTCACCACAGTTGTGTTCATCACTCAGGTCTCCACAGTCGTCGTATCCGTCACAGACCAGCGCTGGAGACAAACATCGGCCGGTGTTGCAGCGAAACTCTGCATCTGGACACACTGGGGACACACAGAGGTCACATGACCACCACCTCACGGCCTTATACGTCAGCGCCACCACTTCCTGTCTGTGACACGTCTGGCCCTGGACCCATCATGATCTGAGGTTCGGCCCTCTGAACCCAAAAACCCACCTGCAGGTCCAAATCATCCCATCTTTAAAAACAACCACCGAGGGCGCCGCTGTAGCTCAGCGGGTTGAGCTGATGTTCAGGGCTCTAGTCCCCGATGCAGCGGCCGTGGGTTCCAGTCCCGCTCATGGCCCTTTGCTGCAACTCCTTCCCCCATCGTCCTCCCCCACCTCCTGTCTCTCTCTGTCCTATCCAATAAAGGCACAAAGGCCCCAGAAAATATCTTTAAAAAAACCAACCACCTACCAAACAACATTTACAGCCAGAAACCGCGACAACCGACAGAACCGCAAAGCCTCCCGACGGTCCAGGATGTGTCACGTGTTGGGCTCACACCTGGCTGAGGGGGAAGCTGGTTCTGCTGCTGAGGTTTGGGTAAAGTGAGACGACGTGGCCCGATACGATGGTTCTGATCCTGATCGGCTGCTCTTCCTGCGCTGGACACACTCGGTCTCCTCCCGTACGTTTTGGTCTCATTGGTTAAGTCGTGAGTGGTTTTGATTTGGCTGCAGAACTGGAGCCAGGACGTGTTCTGTTGGTCACGTGACTCTTTGGCGTCAGCTGGTGTCGGCCATGTTTCCTGCTGTCCAGACGTAAGCGTTGGCTTCAGCTTCCACCTCCATGAAGCTCATCGACTCTTAAGGGAAAGCCAAGCCCACGCTGCCACAGCAACACACGGGGAGCACTTTAAAGCTGCTTCCATGAGCTTCTCCTGATGGGACGTTCTAAAACATGCTGATGTTTCTCACATCATCCTGCTTGTTCGATCTTTTTTGTCACATGTTTCTGTTGCATTTCTTTCCTTTTGGCCTCCTTGTTTCTCGCCTGTCTTGTTTTTCTCGTCTCAGTCCTCTGCTGTCTGGTTCTACTGCGTCTCTTCTCTGGTTCTCCTGTTGTGAGACTTTTACGGCGTCATAAAGCTGCTGCTCTTGTGGACAGAAGGTGGAGGTCACACTGAGGGCCAGAGGCAGGAACAAAGACCACTCTCTCTCTCTTTACATTCCACTGGCCTCGGCCTATAGTGTCCTACATCGCCATGACGACCACCACACACACACACACACACATGAATAGGTTCAGGACCCGTCAACTCGTGTGTCACCTGAAAACCCATCACCATGGCAACGGGATGAAAATGCATCCTGTTCTTTATACAGACGACAACACAGAGCGCACATCTACGGCTGTGAACAACAATCCGCTGTAGAGACCACGGACGGATGGAGAAGGTTCTGTTTCTCTAATGTTCTCAGCTTCATGGCCTCCTAACTCCTCCTGAGTGGTTCTGATCGACTCCAGCTG